GAACAAAAGCAAACAGGATCCCAAACTTTTGTCTTAATCAAAAGGAGTCCCAGATAACATGGCAAATTGCTGCCGCTTTCACCACTATGAACTCTGTCCATGAGGAACCAGGACTTCAGCAAATCCAAGTAACTTTACTGGCAGAATGCTGAACAGAACAGTGACAGCAGCCAGGAGGGAGACCTGCTTGTTCTCTCCTCCCTAAAAGGGAGTTCACCATCCTAAATAAGGTCACTGGTCAATAGCCCATTTATGCAATAAGGGAGGAGTAATGACATATCACCTCTCATTATCACAGTGTGGGCTCAAGTCTGGGCTTGTATCTGTGTTTAGTCAGCTTCATTTTTAGTTTTCTATTAATGCTGTAGGCCTCAATTCTGTCATTTGACCTCCTGAAATTTCTTAAAAAACAATGAGCACACCAGGATTGAAACACTGAGAAATACCACATCAGGGAATTTTCTTAAGAGCTCAGGTCACTAGATGCCAACCAGACAATCAATAGAACTGCTTGCAGATCACTGGGAAAATTCCCGAGAGCCTTCTAGAAACTCTCTGGATCTATCATGTGCTGGAAACAGACCCTCCAAATAGATTCTTCAGCCTTGTAGGAATCTCAGGTGGCAGTTAATCTCAGTTGAATCAGGAAGTGATATGACCATGGCAACAGGCTAGTTGTAATGCTCTCCATTAACCATTACCATTAATGGTGGTAATCTAAGTCACAAAAAGTGCTCTAAGGCAAAGACAAGATCCAAAGTGTGTCTTCCAACATATCGTGGGCCAGTGGTTACCTTGGGCAAGCCCATGGTTGCCATAAAGGCCATGAACTCCATGACTGTTCCTTTTTTAATAGTAATTTTATTAAAAATTACAATTACAACAATAAAAACTAATACAAACTAAAAAAAATTAAAGAATGAAAAGAAAAAATAGGTGCAGAAAAGAAAAAAGAAAAAAGAAAGAAAAAATAAGAATATAGTAAAGAAAAAGAAAAGAAATATATAAA